CTGTCATCTGTACTCACTGGTCATCTTTCAGATGCAATATTTCTTGGTAGGAATAACGGGCTCAGTTATGTCGGAGATAGCGAGCAAGGGACAGGGTAAGACAAGACTCAGATCTGTTGTTCATAGGGTCACTCTGAGTTGCTATGAGTAGACTCAACGGCACAGAACAACACAACATTTCAGAATCATCTTAGTGAGGTCTCTGCCTCCCCAGCACTCCTCAAAGGTCACCTGTACTTTTGGCCATGTATTAAGGTTAGCTATGCCTATTCCCATTTCCTCCACTAAAAACCCTTAACCTCAACATGTGTCATCAAGATTCCTCTACAGCTGATTCATTACCTCTTCAATTCAATCCAAGGAACACTTAGCATTTACTTATAATACACTGGATCAGAGGAAAACTAAGGTGAGTCTTTGACCTCACAAAGCTTCTACAGGCTTTACTAGCAGAAATAAAATATGCACTGAAACCAGTAAGAGTGTTCATACAAGTAAGACATTTCATAGGAGAGGAACAAATAAACTTAGCTGGAATCAAAGAGAAAATAAAGTAACTTTCAATTTGTTTGGTAGTTTCTATTTGGTTATCTTTGATAGGCCCTACTGGGATATATAAAGACAGGAAGGAAGGGGTCATGAGAGACTGCTACATGATAACACGACAGCACACTATGGGTAACTCAAGAAAATCCCATTTCCTTCCATTTCTCTGGTCCTCTTTTCTTTTGAATTTAGTGGAAGTCAGCACGTAGTTATGAAGCTTTTCTATCTAAAACTTAAGTGACTGAGCAGACAAGAACACTTTTTAAAAGGAATGATCCACCAAATCATATACTATTTCCATTGAAAACACACAATATTCATCTATTCTAACAACCCACCCACACGAGGCCAGATTCCCTTTCCAACATTCTGGCTGGAGGTAAGAAAGACTCTGCTTGAAAATTTAAGAGATGGACATGTGACCACTGCTTAAACAGATCATCCGGGAGGCTGGGCTTCATGAGGAGCAATGTGGCATCAGGACTGGAGGAACACTCATCAACAGCCTGCATTATGCAGATGACCCAACCCTGCTTGCTGCAGAGGGTCAAGGACTACAGCCTTAAATACAGATTGAAGCTCAACATCAAGAAAACAAAGATTCTCACCACTGGATCAATTGGCAGCATCATGATAGATGGTGAAGAGATTGAAATTGTTAACAGCTTTTGTTTTCTTGGCTCCATAATCAACACTCTTGGTACCAGCCTCCAGGAAATCAAATTACATTGAGAAAATTTGCTGTCAGGGACCTCGCTAGAGTACTGAAGAGCAACGATCAGTCTGGAAACTAAGGTATGCTTAATCCAGGCCACAGACTTCGCAATTACTTGCTATGCATCAGAAATCTGGACAATGACTAAGGATGATAGGAGAATTGATGCCTTTGAGCTGCGGTACTGGAGATAACAAACAGGTTCACCCAAGAGAGGGTAAAACCAGCTGCTCCATGGAGGCAAGGATTCAGAAGCTTTGTCTGACATACTTTGGGCATGTTGCAAGGCGGAAACGTTTCCTGGAGAGGGATGTCACGCTTGGGAGGATGGAGGGACAGTGCAAGAGAGGAAGACCCTCTATGAGATGGACTGTTTCAGTGACTGGGGTAATGGGGGGTAGGTGTGTCAGAGACACAATACAGCAGTTTTCAGAGCAGTTGTACACAGGGTCAGTATCAGTTTCAAGTTACTCAAGGGCACATAATAACAACCTCCCCCAAAAGAGATGCTAAAACCCCATTGTAAGTCATGTTGTTGTTTTTGTTGTGTGCTGTTGAGTTGCAAAGGACCCATATCTGACCCTGCAGTGGGTTTCCAGAGGCAATAAGTTGCATGGAAGGAGTCTGCCCATCCTTCTCTTGTAGAGTCAAACCACTTGCTTTGGGATAGAATTGTAACTTCTCACAAGTAGGCAAATCAAGCCCCGTTTGTTGTAGTTGTTGTTATGTGCCGTTGAGTCGCTTGCCACTCATAGCTACACTATGTACAACAGCCCTAAACTCTGCTCTGTCCTGTGCCAATCGCACTGTCTCCGAGATACCCATCCCAAATACCCCAGTCACTGAATCCTTCCCCTCCTGCGCCTGCCCTCCACCTACCAAGCATGATGTCCTTCTTGAAGGATTGGTCTCTCCTTACAACATGTCCAAAGTATGTCAGACAAAGTCTCAGAATCTTTACCTCCAAGGAACAGCCTGGTTTAGCCCTCTCCAGGTTAAATCTGTTTGTTTTCCTAGCAGTCCATGGTACCCTCAATACTCTTCTCCAGCACCACAGCTCAAAGGCATCAATTCTCCTTCTATCCTCCCTAGTCATTGTCAAACTCTCTGATGCATAACAAGTGATTGTGAAGACCATGGTCTGTATCAGGCGCACCTTAGTCTCCAGAGAGACACCACTGCTCTTCAGTACTTTGGAAAGGTCCCTAATAGTAGACTCTCCCATCGCAATACGTCTTTTAATTTCCTGGCTGCTGGTGTCAAGAGTGTTGACTGTGGAGCCAAGCAAACTAAAGCTGTGAACAATCTCAATCTCTTCACCATCCAACCTGATGCTGCCAACTGGTCCAGTGGTGAGAATCTTTGTCTTCTTGATATCGAACCTCGATCCATATTGGCGGCTGCAGTCCTTGACCCTCTGCAGCAAGTGCTTCAGGTCCCCTCAGTTTCAGCAAGCAGCGTTGTGTCATCTACATAATGGAGATTGTTGATAGATCTTCCACCAATCCTGACATCACATTTCTCCTCATAGAGCTCAGCCTCCCGGATAATCTGTTTTGTATACAGGTTGAAAACAGACGGAGACAGGACACATCCCTGGTGCACACCCTTCTCAATTTTGAACCATGCAGCGTTCCTTGCTCTATTGGTTAAGTCAAATGTACGTAGGGTGGGTATTAGTCCTAGTCTCATGTCAATGGTGTCTTACATAAAGAGAAAAGCAGCATAAAAGCAGTGTCATACACAGGAAGAAGACACCTCTAAAATCAACAACGGTTTACTGACACAAGAAACAAGAAACTAGAAACAAGGAGAGACATGGAACAGCTCTTGTTCCAGAGCTCTTGGAAAGACTTCATATACCAAATCCCTGAATGTAGGTATCTAGCCTCCAAAAAGGCAAGAAAAGAAGCATATGTTCTTTAAAACCACTCACTTTGGGGTATTTTGTTATGGTAACCCTTGGAAACAAAGCACAGCAAGCAATCCGAAAGACTAGGGCCTGAATCAGATGCACCTTAGTCCTCAAACTGACATCATTACCCTAACTGCAGACTTTCCCAGTGCAATACATCTCCTGATTTTATGACTGCTGGTCCCAAGGGTATTGACTGTGGATCCAAGTAAGATGAAGTTGTTGACAGTTTCAATCTTTTCTCCATCATGATGTTGCCTATACGTCCAGAAAAATTCTTATGAATTTTTGTTTTCTTGACATTAAGATATAATCCATATTGAAGGCTGTATTTTTGATCTTCTGCAATAAGTGCTTCAAGTCCTTCTTAGTTTCCGTAAACAAGGTTGTGTCATCTGCATAATGCAGGTTATTGATAGATAATCTTCCTCTGATCTTTACGCCACATTTTTCTTCAGATTCCAGCTTCTTGAATAATTTGCTCAGCATACAGATTGAATAGGTATGGAGAGATAATAGAACCTTGAAGTAGTTCCTTCTTAATTTTAAACCATGTAGTATGTGGAGGGATAGCGCATGAGAGGAAGATTTTCAAAGAGATAGATTGATTCAGTGACTAGGGTAATGGGGGTAGGTGTGTCAGAGACAATGAGACTGGCACGGGATAGAGCAGGGTTTAGGGCCGCTGGACATAGGGTCGCTATTAGTTGCAGGTGACTCGACGGCACATAACAACAACAGTGTTACTCTGCACAACAGTCTCTTGGTCTAGGTTTCGCATGGGCACAATTACGTGTTCTGGGATTCCCATTCTTCTCAACGTTACACATAAATTGCCATGTATCTGAGAGCTGAAAAATGTATAAAAATGACCAAAGAAGTACTGATGCCTTTGAGCTGTGGTGCTGGAGATGAGTACTGAACATTCAAACATCCCATGGATGGCCAAAAGAACAAGCAGATATATCTTGGAGAAAGTGCAGCCAAAGTGTTCTTTGGAGGCAAAGTTAAGAAAGCTTTACCTCACATACTTTGGACATGTTGCTAGGAACGGCTATTCCTTGGAGAAGAACATGATGCTAGGAAGGGTAGAAGGTCAGAGAATGAGAAGAAGACCTCAACCAGGTGGACTGACACAGTGACTGCAACAATGGGCTCTAACAATGTGTCAGGAAGTGTGAGGACGGCACAGGATAGGATGGAGTTTAGAACTGTTGTTCACAGGGTCGCCATGGATAATACCGGATGCGAGAGCACCAAACAACAACAACAACAAGAAACTAAGATATAACCTCACAATCAACCAATCATTTTGAGATAGTTAGTAATACTTGGTGACAAAATAATTCTTCATTCTCAGCAGAAACTATCACCTACTAGTTCCAATTCAGCCCTCTAGTATGAAACATGGTTCCATTTCTTTCCACACAAAGATCTTCTAAATGTATGAAGAGTTGCCAAAGACCATCCCCAGAATGTATGAGCTAGTGCTACTTTTGCAATATTTATGTAAAAACAACTTGACCTTAAATTCCCCTTAACATCTAATCATACAACTCACACACCTATATGCAGTTGTTCATATCTCTTTTGTTTTCAATACTTAACCTGGTCTCCAATTACAGGGTTTTGCTGTCAGGGCTTGGGCTCTCACCATAACACACTCATTTTATCATCTCTCCATTTTCACAGTTAAAGGTCACTGCATTTTCTTGCTGTTGTTGCAAGAATTAATGTCATTTTAAGTTATAAAAGCTCCAACCAATTCACTTTGATATAATGACAATTCTGGGACACCTTTTCTAAGACTCATTGTCAACTCACCTCATCATCTTTTGCTGCAAAGACCTTTAGAACTTGATTTCCCATGAAGAATTTTCTTTGGACCTGTAAGAGCAGAGGAAACAACTGATTGTGGGTCAAATTAAGTGACACATATAACCGTAACGTGAGGAGCTACTAAGAAATTCTATTGAAAATGTTGAAACAAATATTCCCAGGTACTAGAAACACTCAAGCACCTTGTATGTACAAAACAACTCCAAGTCATTGGTTAAGGTGGTATCTCAAAGGTGCGAGGTGAGAGTGTGTCACTCAGATACCACTCATTTTCACCTTCCTTTCCCATTTGAAAATCATTCTTCTAATAAACAAGGGAATAAGCTCTATCTTTACGGAAAATGGCAATAATTTCCCTATTAGAATCTTAATAGTTCTTGACTAAAGAATAATTAATGATAAATTTTCTTCTTTTCATAAGACACCTAAGTGAATTCTCAAAGGACAGCCAGATGTCTGAGGTGGTGGGAGGGGACTTGCAGCTAAACTCTTAGCCCTTCTATTATAAAACCCCTAGAACACTGACAATGTGGAGAAAAGAGAAATGAAAAGCCTCCCGAAATTTAAAAAAAAAAAAATAATCCACAACTTATAAAAAAAATTCCTTTTTTTAAATATTGAAAAATGCCATGACAATTCAATCTAGAAATGTTATTTTGCCCTAATTCCAATGTTTTTTATAAAAATTTGGAATGGCAAGCTTTGTAAGTAAACCAGTACATAACAAAAATTTTATTTTTTTTTAAAAAAAACTGGAATATGTGATATTAGTTACCATGGAAAACACCTGACTTTTAAGACAATGTGCATGTGTTTGCTAAAATAGAGGCAAGCAGATAGGAATTAGGTTTGTTTTTTTTTTGTTTTGTTTTTTTATTCTTTTAGGAATTAGGTTTTAAAAATAACCTTGCCCATTTTGCAGGTGTGTCTGATACAGGCCATGGTCTTCGCAATCACTTGTTATGCATCAGAGAGTTGGACAATGACCAGGGAGGATAGAAGGAGAATTGATGCCTTTGAGCTGTGGTGCTGGAGAAGAGTATTGAGAGTACCATGGACTGCTAGGAAAACAAACAGATTTATCCTGGAGAGGGTTAAACTGGGCGGCTCCTTGGAGGCAAAGATTCTGAGGCTCCATCTGACATTGGACATGTTGTAAGGAGGGACCGGTCCTTGGAGAAGGACATCATGCTTGGTAGGGTGGAGGGACAGCGCAGGAGGGGAAGGCCCTCTATGAGGTGGATTGATTCAATGACTGGGATAATCAGGATGGGAGTGTCGGAGACAGTGCAAATGGCACAGGATAGAGCAGGGTTTAGGACTGTGTACATAGGGTCGCTATGAGTCACAAGCGACTCGACGGCACATAAAAACAATGACAATGGTCAAGGGAGGTCTGGTAGCCTAATGGTAAGGAACTGTGCTATCAATCCAAAGGCATTTGGTTCAAATCAACTAGCTGCTCCACAGGAGAAAGATGGGCAGTCAACTCCTAGGCTATTTACTGCCTCTGAAAACTTGCTGGAGGGTCAGAGATGAGTCTGTCCAACTGGATGGAACACAACATCAGTGACAATGGTCAAGGACTCAAGGTGTGCTCTCAGGCACTCTCCAGGTGGTGGGCAGTTTGGCCTCACTATCCAGGCCATGGGAGAACAGAGGTGACAGTCTAGGAAACCTTACGAGGTGGTTCTACTCTGTCCGAATGGGTCACATTGAGTCATTTCTGCGACAGGTTTTAGGGGCTCTGTAGGAGCAGCGGTTAAGCAGTGCGAAACAGCCAGCTGCTACGCAGGCAGAAGACATGGCAGTTCGCCTCATCACGATTAGAGCCTGGGATATTTGATGGGGTGGTTCTAGTCTGTCCTAAAGGGAGGTTAAAAGTTGGGATAGATTTCACAGCAGCAGGTAAAGGCAAAGGCTTGGAAGCAGAGACTGGACTCAAAATCAGCATCCACAACCTTGCTGTATGACCGTGGGTCAGTTACTTAATAGTCTCAACTCTCAACTTCCTAATGTATAAAATATAGATAATGATACCTCCTTGGGAGGGTTGTAATAAAAGTAGAGAACTTTGGAAGAAAAAGTTATTAAAAGATTCTCATAGATAATAGACACTTTTGTGTTAGATATAAAATGTATCTTTTTTTATGGGTATTTTATCTGGGCCCAATAACATAAGAATTAAATGGATTTTCATTCATGCTAGATAATTTTAAGTGGAAATTATACTAAATTATAATAATCACTTTTAGTAGAGAGCCCTGGTGGTCTAGCAGGTAAGGAGTTGCACTGCTAACCCAAAGGCAGTCAGTTCGAATCCTCCAGCTAATTCACTGGAAAAAGATGAGTAATCTCCTTCCATATGATTTACAGCCCCTTAAAGCCCACTGGCCAGTCAGCTATAGGTCAGTGCCCACCCAACAGCAATGAGTATAGGAGAGTGTGAGGTGTTACAATAGGTCCTTACATAGAACCAGCAGTTTGCACCTGAACTAAGCTAAAGACCAGGGGTTTAAATTCACACAGAGGCATGGTAAAGAAAAGCCCTGTAATCTGCTTTTGTAAAGATTTCTGCAAAGAAACCCCAATGGAGCAGCTCTCTTCTGAGCACATGGGGTCACCATATGTCAGAACTAACTCAGTGGCAATGGCCTCAGTTTGGTTTAGGGTCGTGTGAGCCTGCGGTGAATGACACAGCCCTCGGTGAAGGACTGCATTGCCTGCTATGTCCAGTGGTGCATCTCTGCACGGTTGTCCGAAAGCACATGACTCTCAGGTTAATGTCACACCGTAGAACTCTACCCTGTGAGTTATAAGAGTTCAATGATTATTCAAAATGCAGTCAGACTTTTACTGTGCTAAGATACTCCATTCAGACATACCAGGTTAGAGACAGCAATACAACAAAGAATTGAATCCTGTTTCTGAAAGGTTACTATGAGCTACAAAGTCTAGATAAGCTAAGTGACATTTACTAGACTCTGTTCTTCAGACACAAGCTAAGACCAGATGTCCCTTAAATTCTCTACATCTTGATTTATTTCCTCAAAGAGCCAAAGTTGAGACACTAACTCCCAGACTACACACTGGAGAAACTACAAATGAACCAACACACACACACACACAAAACTAGAAAATTTCACAACAAAAAACCACATAAAGAAAACAATACACTTCTTTTTTAGTGAAGTGTCAACAATGCATATTTTTATATTATTTCATTAAAGCAACTTAGTTATGCCAAAAAAATTTTTTTAAAGGAAGAAAACTATTTAAAAGGGATACACGATTGGGTTATTATTGCCATGACAGGAGTCCAGAATGAAGGCTGCATAGTGGAGTTAGTGGAGTGGACTTGGGGGGAGGGATTGCATAACAATGAAAGAGTTTTTCTTTCACTTTTCAAGGAGAAGAGTGAGTTGGAGGGAGGAGGGAGTTGGCAGGGAGAAAAGTGCAACAATGAATGACTGGAAACCCTAAGTTTCTGTAAACTTTCATTAAAAAAAAAAAAAAGAATCAAACACAAATTTTAAATAAAAGAACCAAACAAAGCACCATCTCAGGTACTAACTAGAGAGAACTCATTTGTTTCTAACTGTAGAATAAGTGTCGTACCTGAGAAGATCTGCAAAATCCCAGAACAGAGAAGCACTTTCCCTCTGATCTGTATTTCATTTGCTCCTCATCCACTTTAGAGAAAGGGACTATGTCACTTCCATAGCGAAACCCTAGTGAACAGAAAAAGGGCATCTGTTAAGCATAGGAGGCCTCATCTTCTACAAGCTGAAACAGCTTTACACATCCGTTAACAACGCGGGCACACTAGAGCAAGGCTCCATACACTAGTCTCTGAAATCAAATCACTGCCCCTGGTGACCAATGGGGGAAAGTGGTGGATAAACAAGCCACATATATATTACAGTGTAGATTAAAATCTCATTACGTTTCTTAAGCAGCACTTTCTGCAATCTAGTTACTTAATGATTAGCTGGCCTAGAAGGGGAAAAAAAAAAAAGAAACCAATGCAATGTACTTAGTTATCCTCCAAAGATAAATTATACTTGACTAAAGTACAAGCATGATTTGTAAACATAATAAAAAGAACATGGTTATTCAGAAATCTGAAAAATGCCCATAGGAAATTTTCTGAACAAAATGTTCTCAAAACCATACCCTGGAGCTATACAAATGCCTAATGGAAGCAGCCAAGAATTCTTCTATTTAGAAACATTCCAATGATAAGTCAGATATTATTCTACATTTACTTGTTTATTTCCCTGAGATTTTATGATATACTTTCTTCTTAATTATATAGAACACGAGTTCTTGAGTGCAGGAAAAAACCCAGGATAGAACAACAATAACACAAACATCAACTTTCTCTCCCATGCTCTCTGCCCAGGGGAAGGGCAGGCCCTGCTAATATATTTTGTGTGGTATATTGTGTTGATTGCCTTCAAGTTGAGCACAACATATAGCAACCCTATGAACAAAAGGCCTGAAGCCCCTCTACAACTATCAACATTTATCAAAGTTCATAGAGTTTCCAGAGGCATGTTGTTTAGGAAGCAGATGCCACTCCTGTGTGGTACAGAGAATATAAAATCGGAGAGTTCCAGCAACATTGTCCAAGTAGAAAGTTAAAAAACATGCATTTTTTTATTCTAAGGCACGAAAATTTACACATGGGGACATAGCCCGTGATCAGTGATTACTTGTTCTTTTCAATTTGATGTGATTACATACCTAATTAAGAAGAAACAAATGGCTATTTACTTACATGTTGTAGCTTGCCATTGAGTCCAAAACAACTCATAGCAATTCCTTGAAAAGACCTAATGTCTTTCTATAACTACCGTCATTTCTCCAAGTTCACAGAATTTCCACAGGCATGTGGTTGAGGAAGTGGATGCCACTCCTGCTTCCAAACCTGTTTTACAACTGGGAGTTCAATCCAACACTATCCACATTGGGAAACCATTTACTTAGATAGATTTCTTTTTAAAAAATGTGACGGAGGGAGTGAAGGAATTAGGAAAGATCCAGTGGGAACCTGAAAATCTGGGGTGATAGTGGGCATAGATCAATGATGATTAAATTTATAAAACACAATGTTTGGGAATGATCGTATGAAACATAATGTGAATGAAGGAACGTGTGAATACAATATTCATGAATGCAACACAATGCATATGAATTTTGTATGCAAACCAACATAAAATTTAAAAAATGTGACAGTGAAAACAAATTAAAAATCACACACACACAAACATAACAACAAGGAAACAGAGACACATGGCACATGATTAAGATTGGGCTCTGAACCAAATAAGATGGGTTTTTTTAAAACTTTTCTTACTTGAATAATTCAACAGTAACTTGAAAATTCCATTTAAGACTGTCTTGTGTTTCTCATTTATGTAAAGAAAAATACATAACGCTAGCCTCTGTACACGGCAAAAAAATATTGTACAGACTACAACATATAACCATAGTGCTTTGCCCACATGTTTATATGAAAACCTCTAAGAAGGAGAATTCTTAGACAAAAGAACTGAATGGGTAATTGCAAAAAAAATGCATTCTTCCGACATACTGCATTGGGGAAGCCTGTGGTCAGGGACCTCTCCAAATTACTGAGGAGCAGTGATGTCAGTTTGAGGACTAAGATGCACTTGATTCAGACCACGGTCTTTTCAATCATCTGCTATGCATCAGACAGCTGGACAATGAATAAGAATGACAGAAGTAAAAGTGATGCTTTTCAGTTGTTGGAAAAGAGTACTGAATATCCCATGGACTCCCAAGAAAACAAACAAGTATGTCTTGAAGACGGTAAAGCCAGATTGTTCCTTGGAAGCAAGGATGGTGAGGCTTTATCTCACGTGTTTTGGGTATGTTGCTGGGAGAGGCTATTAGCTGGAGAAGAACATCATGACTGGAAAAGTGGAGGAACGGCAAAGGAGAGGAAGACCGTCAACCAGGTGAGCTGACACAGTGACTGCAGCAATGGCCTACAGTGTGTCAGGAAGTGTGAAAATGGCAGAGGACAGGACAGGATTCAAATCTATTGTTTATAGCACTGCTATGAGTTGTACTTGACTTAACAGTAAATAAT